ACAGGACGGTGTGTGTCTGTGTGTGTGTGTGTGTGTGTGTGTGTGTGTGTGTGTGTGTGTGTGTGTGTGTGTGTGTGTGTGTGTGTTGAATGCAGGTTTGAATGACCAAATATGATCCTACCCCTAGAATGACAACCACAATTCTTGCTGACACACCCAGAAAACAGACCCTTCGCATCCCCTCCAGGATGATATGGCAGGAAATTAAACTTGACAGCCAGAACCACCAACCATTCACACAAAAGAAGCAACAGTATAATTGCTGGGTCAGCAGAAACCTGCAAGGAACACGAACCAGAAATGTAGACCAGAGGTAAAATGAATTAATCTCATCATGGTGCCAGTGACCCTTGATCTGATCCTGTTATCAATAAATTGACCTTTGACAGAGCACCTACGCTCCACACACTTAATCTCTCGACACCAAAGGCAAGATTATTTTATTACATTCATTGGGCAGTTGAACACTTGGCTAGAGTCCAAGTTGAACACTTGGCTTGAGTCCAGTTGGATCAGTTGCCATTAGTGCACATACAAACTTGTAGCAAAATGCTATCAGCGGGGATGAGAACCACATGGAAGTGTACATATTGTATCCTCGAGCAAAAGTCATCAAAACCTTCCCCAACATTTATTCAGCCAAGGGACCCATTTTGTACCCACCAAAGGAATATACTGCAATAATGATGATTTCGTTTCAATTTCCAAACAAACTGACTTCCTCAGTGAGAAGCCGCTTATAATTGAACATAAAGCTGCTATACTTGTGGCAAGCCAAGACTCATTCTGTTGTAGGAATGGCAACAGGTTGACACACCAGTTTACTGTGCCTTCTGTCATATAACGGAAGGACATTTATTTGTTGCTCTCAACTCTTAAATTGCTGGCATTGACAGAATTACACTTAGGATAGTGTATTTGTATATTTGTAATTAATAATTTTGACGAATGAAATGAAACGGGATGATTTTACATAGCACCGCTGATGATTGGGAATCACTGATTTGTATATTTCGGCATTGAATTAGATATGAAAATTCTCGGTTTGTAACCATAAAGGAGAAATTGTGTTCCAGACATGGAATACAGAGCAACGCATTATGTTATGCTATAGTGGTACAGTAATCCCTCATTTATCGCGGTTAATGGGGACCAAAACCACCCGCGATAAACGAAAATCCACAAAGTAAAAAAATATATATTTTTTTCTTTTTAAGTCCGCAAAAAGTCCGCAAACAGTCCGCGAGAAGCTGCAAAACAACAGCGAGTCACATAGAGCAATATATACAGTACTGTACTGTACTGTACTCCATGTATATTTAAAAAAAATAAAATAAAAAATTATATGTTTGAAAAAATCCACGATGCACTGAACCCGCGATAAACGAACCGCGAAGTAGCGAGGGATCACTGTATTGGCAATATTGTAATATTGCAACATATTATGTTGAATATTATGCCGCTTGTGTTTTTTTTTGCGCCTGTGGTGGGCATCTTCGTTTTGTTCAGCGGAGATGTCGGTGCCATCGGGCAGTCTGCATTGGTGTGGCTGGATGGATGGCTGTTGGAGCTGAGGGTGAGGAGAGAGGATTGCATAGAACATGGATGTATATTTGGAATTGAGTGCCGGCGCTTGGAATTGAAGTGGATCTCGGTGGGTCAGAAGAACAGAACCAATCTCTGTATTTGTAAATGGACGCTGCAGCTGCTTGTTTGCTTTCAAATTTGTTGCAGACGCATGTCACGTCATGCATGCTGTGATCAAAATGTCTCTGAACCGCTAGTGAAAGGAAACTTGAATTCTCTCTTCTTTCATCTATAACCACTTCTAACAATAAGACGCATGTAGGAAAAGTTATTATGATTGTATTATTGTTGATGTTTATGTTGTACAATGTGTTCTGTTGTTATTTTATGTTAAATGTTCTGGAAAGTGCTTAGTGACAGCAGCAGCTGTTATGAAAGTGCTATAGAAATTAAGATGTATTGAATACTATTATTAAAATTGAGATTTTGTTATTAAAAAAAAACCCTGGACTTTCAGCACTCCTTATCTAAAACACGTCATCGCAAAAGTATACTTGAGAGATTACCATGAGAACTTTGCACAACAGTGAGGCTCTCAAAACATTTTTTCAGTGTGAGAATTCATATCTCCACATACACTTAAGAAGTTTTCATACGACGGTGGTGATTTGTTGTGTTTTCCTCACCACAACCGGAGAAATATTTTCCTAACAGCTGGAATCGGATAGTAAAAGTCCTGTTTTTTAGTGGGTCTGGCAAGAAAGTAAATGGGGGTGGATTCTGAAACAGGGCAATGGCAAAATCAGATTCCACTCAAAAGAGCTAACTCCTCATTGAGAATAGAACCAACATGTGTTCCACTGACATTCACCAGCAGTGTGTGCAGCAGGGATGTGTTCCTCGAGCCGGTCCTTGGCCTCGAGGACCGGCTCGAGGACCTAAGGTCGGTCCTTGGTCCTTGGCCTTGGCCTCGGAAAATTTTTCAAGTCCTTGGCCTTGGCCTTGGCCTCGGAGGCAAGTCCTTGGCCTTGGCCTTGGCCTCGGAGGCAAGTCCTTGGCCTTGGCCTTGGCCTCGGAGGCAAGTCCTTGGCCTTGGCCTTGGCCTCGGAGGCAAGTCCTTGGCCTTGGCCTTGGCCTCGGAGGCAAGTCCTTGGCCTTGGCCTTGGCCTCGGAGGCAAGTCCTTGGCCTTGGCCTTGGCCTCGGAGGCAAGTCCTTGGCCTTGGCCTTGGCCTCGGAGGCAAGTCCTTGGCCTTGGCCTTGGCCTCGGAGGCAAGTCCTTGGCCTTGGCCTTGGCCTCGGAGGCAAGTCCTTGGCCTTGGCCTTGGCCTCGGAGGCAAGTCCTTGGCCTTGGCCTTGGCCTCGGAGGCAAGTCCTTGGCCTTGGCCTTGGCCTCGGAGGCAAGTCCTTGGCCTTGGCCTTGGCCTCGGAGGCAAGTCCTTGGCCTTGGCCTTGGCCTCGGAGGCAAGTCCTTGGCCTTGGCCTTGGCCTCGGAGGCAAGTCCTTGGCCTTGGCCTTGGCCTCGGAGGCAAGTCCTTGGCCTTGGCCTTGGCCTCGGAGGCAAGTCCTTGGCCTTGGCCTTGGCCTCGGAGGCAAGTCCTTGGCCTTGGCCTTGGCCTCGGAGGCAAGTCCTTGGCCTTGGCCTTGGCCTCGGAGGCAAGTCCTTGGCCTTGGCCTTGGCCTCGGAGGCAAGTCCTTGGCCTTGGCCTTGGCCTCGGAGGCAAGTCCTTGGCCTTGGCCTTGGCCTCGGAGGCAAGTCCTTGGCCTTGGCCTTGGCCTCGGAGGCAAGTCCTTGGCCTTGGCCTTGGCCTCGGAGGCAAGTCCTTGGCCTTGGCCTTGGCCTCGGAGGCAAGTCCTTGGCCTTGGCCTTGGCCTCGGAGGCAAGTCCTTGGCCTTGGCCTTGGCCTCGGAGGCAAGTCCTTGGCCTTGGCCTTGGCCTCGGAGGCAAGTCCTTGGCCTTGGCCTTGGCCTCGGAGGCAAGTCCTTGGCCTTGGCCTTGGCCTCGGAGGCAAGTCCTTGGCCTTGGCCTTGGCCTCGGAGGCAAGTCCTTGGCCTTGGCCTTGGCCTCGGAGGCAAGTCCTTGGCCTTGGCCTTGGCCTCGGAGGCAAGTCCTTGGCCTTGGCCTTGGCCTCGGAGGCAAGTCCTTGGCCTTGGCCTTGGCCTCGGAGGCAAGTCCTTGGCCTTGGCCTTGGCCTCGGAGGCAAGTCCTTGGCCTTGGCCTTGGCCTCGGAGGCAAGTCCTTGGCCTTGGCCTTGGCCTCGGAGGCAAGTCCTTGGCCTTGGCCTTGGCCTCGGAGGCAAGTCCTTGGCC